AAGCACTGAACTTTCAACCAACAGGTTTTGAATATCCCTTTACGCGTCAACTGTGACTCTTAACTTATATAGTGATATAAAATTTGATCTGAGTTCAGGAAACTAGTCAACGAAATCATGTTAATAATATCTAAAGGACTTACTGAATAGTTCTTTATAGTTAACTGTGAGTCACATTTAGTTCAGATTTATATTATAGGAATTTCAAAACACAAAGATACCACAACATTGCAGTCCAGAAACCATTCAGACCAAAAGTTTCTCAAGAACGAAATACTGCTAATTACCCGAAAATTGGCAAGAACATTCCTAACAGAATGGAATCAGAATTCTCCCTCAGGTAGTCCCAGAATAAGCAGCCGCTCCAAAGCACGACCATGAGTTTACTGAAATAAAGTATCGACGATAGTATAACAATACACCACTATGAAATGTCCGCCACTTTACAATAGCAAAATGAGGCATTAAGAATAGTAATCAATCCAAAACGAAGACAAATGATAAGCATTAAGCTAAAAGATGCCATGCAAAATGTTAGAATAATGAAAAACAGATCAGGAGTTAAGGATAACAATTGTAAAATTAATTGTTCGAGGGGATTTTCAGATCATTCATTTTGACTTTGGAAGAGACACATCACTGGAAATAAGACGGTAGACATTAAAGTTCACAGAAAACAATACATTCATACATTATTACCTTCTTATCTGTCTGTTGTAATCACATTAGATTTCAGTTACGGGCTGAGGTATTTTTATACTAAGGGTATAACTCGTCACTGTGAATTTGCAACAGCCGTTTTTCTTGATTTCGTTACTTAATTTGAACAACAAGCTTAGGAGACACAATAATAAAATTTTAAAAACTCGTTCATATCATAGTGAAAATAGCCTGATTTTAAGAAATTTAAATGTTTATCTGATAGTGTTACTTTTTCCCCAGTTGTTTCGTAAATCTAATTTTCTTTTTGACTCACCTAATACAAAAAGGTACCCATTTTTAATGAAAAGTGACAATTTTGCTTAGTCTTACATAAAATGTTCTGTCAGTGCCGTTTTCTATGTTTTTAATTAGTAAATACTATTCAATTCTCTTAATTATTACCGGTTAAATGAGGATTTTAATTGTTATTTAAAATATATCAAATCTCTCTTTCGCTCATTCTTCGTCTTTATTTTAATATTGAATAATACGTATGAATTGACTTAAAAATTAGGAAATTAAAGCCTCTTTTGTTTAAAATCACTCATAAAGGCAACAAATTAAATTGGCGGTAGTTTTAAGTGATTAGTTTCACTATTTAAAATTGGAAACCAGACTAAGCTGATTTGTATGCAAACACATTATACTGGTTTTATCTCAGATAGGCTGTTTAAAAGCTTTGAATTTTATTCACTACATTAAATTATTTGTAAACTGTTTTCAGAGAAAAATATTCTTTTGGTTAGCAGTGACTAGCAGTGGAATCCATGGTGTTCGTTCTGGCGTATTTTAAATCCGTCGGCTGGATACATTTGCATCCCAAATGAGTAATGATTTTTCCTCTAAGACTAGATCCATGTACGCAATGTTTTGAGTGCCACAGAACTATCTACTAGACTGTGTCACGAGGACCACCTCTTTGTCAACGTGTGTTGGTTGTTATTTGTTCTTGCATTAAACACCAAGAATGCAGATGAATGCAGTCAATGAGCGCCAACTATGCTGAAACGCGTGACCTGGATTCGAATGCTAGCTATCACCAATCAAACTACACCATATTAACCTTAAGCAGTCGCTGAAGGGTCCGTACTAGAAGTTTTGCCATACATTTCTTCCCGATCTAATCTCATTTCAACACTAGCTAAACATTTTGTATGTTTTGTTTAAATTCATAACAAGTTGTCTCAAAATTCAAGGGTGGTAATAATCCACTTTTCTAAATGTAACTCAAATAGAGATGATAAGAAAATAAATTAATAGATGACATTAATATGAAGCTAGAATGCTCCCCAAACAAGTTAGAGGTCCGAGTTCGATCGTCAGGCAACGTACTGCAAAACTTCGCCTAGTTTATCAGCCAGAAAAAAAAGGGAAAGTTGAGTGTGAGGCTGGGAACCCCACCCAATAAGAACAAAGCAATCTCTTTCTAAGGATACAATCCCAGTGTATCCAACACCACAGGTAGGCCTTAGACAGCACACAAATATTAAGAGTTAAAAAGGCATATGTGACTGATTTGTGAAGGAAATTTGTTCAAGCATAAGTTTTGCAGGGATTTTGTTTGATTGGATGGAGGATTTTATCATGAGCTGACATCAGCTAGAGAACCACTGGAAAACCTGGGAGTACTGGACGAAACAGCTGTCCTGTACTGCCAAGAAATTTATTCAATAAAGATTTCGTTTATGCTCAGAGAAGTACCTAATGCACGAAGGTAACTTCCCTATTCTGAAAGAAAACGTTATGAAGGGATGTTTACCCTTCTAGTTGTCAGATTTTTCCTAAGGATTATTCAAGGTGTAGCTAATACACTGCCATAATTTTTCATTCCAACATGCTGATATATAGTTCTGTGTGTACACTGTAGCTTATATTAATCATTTGTGATGTAATCGAAAACGCTTTGGCGTACGGAATCATAATTACTGGGTCTAAGTCTCATTGGGAATACTATAACATATTCCAAGCTGACAAGCGACTTACATTCTTGAATTCATTACGGACCACTATTAAATAAATAGATTGATAATTAACGATGTGGGGTTTAACTTTAAGCTGTCATATCCTGAAATATACTGTGTGATAACAGCAACTGAATATTCATTTTGAGGTCTTGGAGACTATTCACAAAGAATCACACAACAATTTCGACCTACCTTGGAATTTTTCTATGGCACGCACCCACCACTCCACCAGTTATCAAACCCAGAACATTTAGGTTAGGAGACGAGCCAGAGTGAAGAGTCCTAAACTAGGAGAAAACAACTGTTCAGTGCTACTTGACTTTCAATCATTCTGTAACTGATTTCGGCTCGTGAAGACATCTGTGTTGAAAATAAAATTTGTCCATTCCAGATACGAAACCAATCAATGATACGAGCATCAGTTGTATCAGTCAAGAAAATAAATACTAAGATACACTCACTATCCACATGTTCAATTAGTGAGGTCATAGTCTGAGCCTCACTGTATCTACATCACCTTGGATGATGGGTTGATGCCACTAGCTCTTCTAAACTAAATGTGGACGACAAAGTGGTACATTAGCAACATGTTTAGTTTAAGTGAATTCCAACTAACTGCCCAGCTTGCTAATATGTTGAAGGAATGATAAAAGAAGAAACATGTCAATGAACAATCACTTCACAAGCCAGCTCATTAATTACTGCTTCTCAAAACACTCATACAGAAAAGACCTACTCTAGTTCCTTGGAAAAGCAGCTAAGATAAGATATGCTATTTAAATTTGATCACCGACAAAAAGGGGAATACTTAAGAAGGATAACAGTATGTTTCAAGCATATAATGTTATTTATATTTAATATCTGAGTCATAAACCTCACTACATGTAGATCTTTATGTGCACTGTCATGAATTACTTCTATAAATTCTGTTAGTCAGAACACCTCAGATTATTATTATTATTATTAAGTATTATTCTCTTAGGTTCCAAATAGAATGCAGAGCATTAACAGCACATTTTTATTCCATCCTGCTTTCTATAGCCGTCTTTACCTGACCGCAGGATTTTTCCATAAGCTCTTATCTTCTTCTCACACAATCTTCTCACCCTTGAAGTCTGGACTCATCGTTTCCCATTTGAGTTCCACTCGAGGGCCTGGTGTCATCCAATGGTCTCTTCACTGTGTGGCTGGTCCATCTCCTAGCTTGCTAGTCCACCAGTTTACTAGCTGTTCCTTGGTCAAGAAAAACAAGAAGGTTGGGCGTGGGGCTAGTGATCCTACCCCGGCAGACCGACCCAGTCACTACTGAGACTCCCAGGCACAGACAAAATATAAAAAATAAGCTTACTCTTCGGTGGAACTGGCGAAACGAAATGACACCGTCTGATGAAAGCCTTCGGAAACCTAGTCAGCCGATGTGTCTTTTTCGATGAAAGTGAAAGTAAGGATGGGGAGGTGGGATGTTCGTATAATGTACGAGGCTGGGAAGGCTACCCGGGTTGCTAGGAAGCTGCAAGAACAGGTGGAATGCGTGTGGACTATCCAAATTGTTGACTATAGAGTCAATAATCTACTCCTGTCACGCAGACAACAACCACGAGCACACTGAGGGAGTGGGTATCACGATGTCACCAAAAGCAGCCAAAACTCTAATGCATTGGGAACCAATTTCATTCAGGATTATAACAGCAAGATTCAACCCAAAACGAAGGGAGCTTATAATTATCCATTACTATGCGCTTACAAGTAACTTAGAACAATAGAAGAAGGGAGATTTTATAGGCAACTGCAAACAGTAATGGCCAAGAAACTGAATGTCTCAGATAGTGTTCGTCAACCTATGGAACATTTAGGAATAGAGATAAACGTTGAAACAGCTAACTAGCCACTGAGCTAAGTGGTTCTATCACAATGGGACTTCGTCCTACCCTTACAAATGCAAAATAGCACCAAATATTTCCCATGGTGTATGTAAACGGTACCTTTTAAATCATGCTACGAACTTCTCTTGTTGTATTTGTTAGGATTCACTTGTCTTTTCAGTACATATTTCATCTCGAATGATTACTAATCAAAAAACTATTTTTTTAGTTGCTTTTTAATCCTAATTTGTAATTCTTCGCTGGTACAAACAAATTATCCGTAGATAGATGAGATAAATTGAACTACACACAGTAATACTTCCTTCTGATTTGTTGTCATTCACTTTCTTCAGTTAACCAATAAAATGCATAACCGTTATCTGTCTTAAAATGATTGGTCGACAGAAATTCTCTTTTCTCTCTCCTGCCTTCATTCTCTTCCTAAATTTACACTACAAATAATGTTGGCATGGGAACAGTCTGATATTGTTATCATTGCCCTACCTATTCCAATTCTACATACAATTTACGTTATTTATTGTGAAAATAAGAAGTTTCAGTGTCATTTCACTATGATAACGACTGAAAATTCAGTCAGTGTTAATTAATCAACACATTTGTTTGTTTAAAATGAAATGACAGTCATGAATACACAGGATTATATTAGTTTGTCACAAGATTCACTGCGTGGAATATATTCAGTAAAAGATGTTGAATTGTATAACAATGAGTACCTGGATCCATTCAGTGAAAGTTTAGTAAGTAATTTTGCTGTTTACTTGTTTTCCCGCATTTTTCGTTTGGATACTGTAATTTTTCCCCTTTTCGTTAGACAAATCAGACCTCATTGAAGTGATGATCTAGCACCAGCATAAGGATCACTTAGTTAAGCTCGTAAAGCTCTGGTTGGGCTAGTAATCCGGAAACCTCCGGTGTGGATTCTTACGCGACATAGATTGTCATTTTGTCTACACTGAATAATCTGTAACAAGAAGAAATGCGTGTTCTGGATACCACCACTAGTCACCCATTCGTCTAATAACATCCAAATAATAAATACGTATCCGAAAATTGGTTTTCTTAAATATTTCACGACTACAGTATTTATAAATAACTTTCAGGGACGATCATAATGATTTTTAATTTATTGAGCTTACTAACGCATCTTAGAATCATTTTCCAAAGTTGTACTTGAAGTTGGAATTGAAAAAAATTTGTACTGTTTAAATGAAAATTCATCGTATCAACGTGATAGTGAGTGAAATTACTCTCCTTTTGAATAATAGATAGAATATTGTTCCTTGTTAAAGCTTCACAACAAAAACACCTAGCAAGCATATTTGTCAAGTGTTGAGCGGTAGGAATTTAATTGGTTGGAGGATTTCATCATGAGCTGACAGAAGTTAGAGAACCATTGGAAAACCTGGGATTACTGGACAGCTGTTTCACCCTAGTTCGTGACTCTTCATCAGCACGTACCTACCGGGTGTCGAACCCAGGACCCTCTGGTTACAAGGTAAGCTCGTAGACCATTAAGCTTCTGGCCCTGGGTTCGGACCTTGGTAGATACGTACTACTGAAGAGTCCCAAACTAGGACGAAACAACTGTCCAGTACTTGAGTGGTGGTTTTCCAGTGGTCCTCTAACTGATGTCAGTTCATGATGAAATCCTCCAACCAATCAAACAAAATCTATACAAAACCATTACTTAAAAGTAGTATTTAATTGATTTCAAGATGGATTTTTACTCAAGTTGACATCCGTTTGTGAAAAATTAAAAAACAGTTAGCAGTTGATAGATGTTTCTTTCTTCCTAGCCTGGGAATCCGTAGCATTATCTCCCTAAAATTGATATCAATTAGTGATGACCAGGAAATCAATCAAATTTCCACAATTCAACACTTGCAAATTAATCTTGTGTCTGTTAGAGACTAGGTGTGGTGTAGAAAAAAGACATCCATTGGTGACACTGGATGGAGTTGGTCCAATATTTTCAACTGTGATAGAAATCGGAATTCACGAATCATTAAGTTCCAACCGAGTGGCTGAATAGTCAATGGATTTGCTTCTTAACCTCATAGTCATGGCTTTGGTATCAGATTAGGTTACAGATGCACGCACTCCCTAATCTTAAGTGACGAAACCCACCTTAATATCATTCTTGTGACATGGGCAAAATCTTAGTATTTGCTTTAATGACACGTGTTGTGTGAAGCTTTCATTTTTTGGACAATAGAGGTAAAGTCATTATTAGTGTGTCTCTTCGAAGCTACAAATACCCCATAGTAATATTAAAGGTTACTGAGATAAGATTGTTTCCTTGTTGTTTACAAGGATTCACTGTTCAATTTCACTGTCTCAGACAAATAATGATCTTTTTAAATAAAGATTTTACCTTTACTAACTATAATGAAATGTCCTAATCGACAGACGATGGATAAAAATCAATTTAAAAGATGATTTAGCCATGTTGATGCGGTTGTATTCTCTTAGCTATGCGGTTTATTGCAAAGCATTCACTGTCTTTCTAGACAACAACTTCGCCGCATACTTCAATATGAAGACAGTTAATTTTTTATTAACTAGCTGAAGGTATTTCTCTTTTACTGGTACAAACTGAGTTCTTCAAACTAGACGGTTTAACTACCACACCATCACGATGAAGTCGGCTTGAGGTAAGTGCTAAATATGCTGCCTAGAAAGACACTGGAAGCCTCCCATCTAAACTAACCGCCTTAGAGAAAGGAACAAGCAACACCAGAAATCATCCACTTACTTGTGTTATAAATTTTCTCCTTCGTTTCAAACTGGTCTGTGGTGAAAATTATTTCCAAATTATTCATAGGTTAAAAAGAAGTTAGAATTCATGGACCATTGGATCGGGTCCCAGTGGCTTAATGGTATACGAGCTCGCCTTGTGACCAGAAGGTCCTGGGTTCGAATCCCGGTGGGTGCGTACTGCTGAAGAGTCCCAAACTAGGACGAAACAGCTGTCCAGTACTCCCAGGTTTTCCAATGGTTCTCTAACTGATGTCAGCTCATGATGAAATCCTGTAACCAATCAAATCCCTACAAACCAACACTTAAAAAGATATAAGCCAACAAAGAATACTTTTTTCGTAACCTCTCTACCAAGCTGTACAACTATGCAGGGTTTGTAACGGTCATGCAAATGCTCATAAAAGTCAAATATTGACAAAAATACGCAGTTGCATACTAGAAATGTGATGTGGCGTAACTAAGATACATTATGCGATGAATATCGCTCAGCTGTAAATGTTTGAAGAGAGGAATGTTGTTCATGAAAGTAAGGCGATTCAGAGTATGTATAAAGTATATTTTAAAGTTAAAAGTTGGAAAAGAAAGAAGAAATATACATCAGGAAAAGGAATTAAACAAATCACTTCTGTATACACAGTCCGACTTTTTCTCGCGTATAAGGTTTCTACTAGATAACTATTTATGATGACCATAAATATTGTTAAATTGATGGTAAAAGTTATGTAAAATAATGTAACGAAAGTAAAATGAAAATCTAAATCGCAAAAGGATTCAAGCTACTGCTCTGTTTACTGCCAGCCTGGTACCCTCCCAGCCGAGCTACAAAGCCTAGCTGTTAATCAAGTCATAATTATGCTGAAGTCTTTACAGTTAATGCCCAGTTGTTATGTCAACTGTCGGCTTGACATCATCACACTACGTACGTAGTTCACATAACAGTCCGAAACAAACTGGATAAGAAGAAGGAGACAACGGGTTTGTTAACTGTTGATTTTGATAGCCTTGGATTAGCATACAAAAACCATTGTAATTCAAATTGAAATTGTCATTTAGATACAAAAATCCATGGTCTAAATCACTTAAGTACAATCACGGATTGATAGGGCTTGGAACTCACGAATGATTTAATTCCATCTCAGAGGCTGAATGGTCAACAGCCTCAAGCTCTTTGGTCCGATTTCCAGTGAGGTTACGGGTGGGTACTGCTGAAGACCTCCAAGCTAGAACGAAGCAACCGTCCAGTAATTCCTGGTCTTCATTGGTTCTCTAATTCATGTCAGCCTGTGATCAAACTTAAATAGAGACCGTTCAATAGACTACAGATCGTTAGTCATGAATATTTCAAAACGTTACCAATAGTTGTAATGCTACATTACTACTCCTTATATCATTCTTTAATTGTCATAATATTGAAATCACGACATTAATAAGTGTAACTGCTTTCTCTTTAAATCTGTTTTTAAGAAAAACTATTTTTTCCTTCAGGGAGTTTGAATGACGTTGTTAGTTATTTTATTTTTCACTTTCTGTCGTTTCTTTCCCCCTTATCGAATTGCTGTCAATTAGTGACTTCCGAAACTTAATATCATCGCTGGACAGTTTATTCATTGTAGACACGTAATTAATTGTATTTGTTAAATTAAATTCTTTGTGTTTGCTTGGGTCATAGATTTCCTTAAGCCTACAAATTTCTATCTCTGAATGATTTTGTACGTTTAAATGTCAGTCGACTTTCAGCCCAACTAAGAATTCAAAGTTAGGCTTTAGATTTCACTTATTTATATGTGATAGTAGCATGGGTGCTCTAAATAAAAGTAACAGTTATATCATTATGATCTATGGATTTGCTGGAAATATCATCCAGTCATTGATGCTATAACATCACATGTATTGTGTCAAATAAACTTATCGAATATGTAGTTATCTCCTGCCACAGTGATGACACTGTACTCTTACAGTGGGCTTCAAGGTAAATTTCCTTACTACTCAGTATCAGGGAGAAGGATTCAACACCACTTTATTCCTAGTTTGAGACTCTTAAGCGGTATTCACCAAAATTCTCACAAGGGGTCCGAACAAAGACCTTCAGGTTATGAGACAAACTGTTTTTCAATCAGTGGGTTGAAATCTAAAGATTCATGAGTCTCAATTTATGCCAGTTACTGATATAGTGTCTTTGCCGCGTTATATCACTGGAGATTGCCTACCTTCATATTCAACATGATATGCCATTCGGGTTACTACCAATAATGAGTAATTGAAGTACACTTAGGCGGATATATGTTGTTAATCAACGGAAGTTAGAATTCGAAAGGTATTAAATGTAAATTTCTTGTAAAATAACCTGTCAGCCCTTGGTTCGAACCTTGGTTGGGTTGCTAATGTACATTGCTGAATTTTTGCAAACTAGGAGGAGACTGCTGTCGAGTGTTTCGTGGTCTCCAATATTTCTTCTGTAATCCCTTGGAAATTTACCTAAGAGAAGGAGAATGTCTTACCCAGTAAAACTAGAAAACATTATTCTATAATGGTTCGTTTATTTGACATGTCACATAGGAATGCAGTATTATTAATATTATCCATTGTATGTTACTCTGGACACAGTCATGTATTCATGACCATTACTTGCCTTTTTGAGCTGATGTATCGCAACCTTATGTAGAATATAAAGACTGCAGTATTCTTACTGCTTGTTAAGAATTAGGTAGATCGTAGATTTCAAAGTGGATTCTATACTTGAGATTGTGTGTCGGTGGCACAGAGGTAGAATGCTAGCCAACTATGGAGGTGGTTCGGAGTTCGATCCCCGGCCTACGCATTCATTTACCTCGCTAAGCCAGTAATAAGACTGGTAAAGAGGGAAGGCTGGGGGCAAGGCTAGTAACCCCATCCCGTAAAACTAAATACCACTGCTTACAGGATTTTCATCCAGGTGGGTGCGCACTAATGAAGAGTCCCAAACTGGGACGAAACAGCTGTCCAGTACTCCCAGGTTTTCCAATGGTTCTCTAACTAATGTCAGCTCATGATGAAAACCCTGTAACCAATCAAATCCCTACAAGCCAACACTTAAATACCACTGCTACCGAAACTTTAAAGCTGTAGCTCGAAGCCCTGTGTTCCATCGGGAACATAAAGGAATTAAATAAACAACCTATCCTTCATTTGTGTGCCAGCTTGGCACTACCCGTGATGATTCCTTTGAAATGATAGCCTAGTTAACAGTTGTGCCGGTAATCTAGAGACCTCTGGTTTTATTCAAATTTTCATTTTCCTTTCATCACATAGCATAGTATACACTTATCTTGCGATACATGTGTACTTTAGTTAATAGGAAAAAGAACTAAATAAGTCGTTTCCATCAATTTACTCTTCAGGAATTTCGAAATATTGTTCATCTCTGATTCTGTTTTTCCTTCTTCTGCTTTCCAATCGGGGCATGGGGCTTCAGACTTGAACTTAGACGTTTCCGTAGTGGTAGTGCTGTTTTCAATGGGGTGGGATTGCAAGGCTCATACCTAACCTTCCTTCTATACTGGTTTGACTGCCGACTGACAGAGGTTTAAGAGAGTGTCAGCCGGGAATCGGACCCAAACGAAGTACGTGGTTGGAAAACATGCTACCATAACTGACACGCGTTGCACAAGAGGTGGCACTCGTGACTCAGGTTTTCCATTGGATAACACTTTGGCGTTCAAAACGATGGGTACTAGATTACAGCTTCAGTGGGGACACTGCCACTTGCTGGGGAATGAGGGCACATCCAGATGACGACTCAAAAATAGGTCGAAATGCGCATCCTGAATTCCACTGCTAGTCACTATCCACTAAATTACTTGAAATTGGTCCTCAGACATCGTCGAAGAATCCATTCTAGGAGCCGACATGTCAACACAGAGGCCAGTCATTTCGATCCAATCAATCAACAGGAAAATCAAAACTGAATTAAAAAGAAAAATAGTTCTAGAACACGTACCAGACAGTCTTCTCATAGTTTCAGCGCAGATTGATACTGCCATAACTCTTTAGCTGGCTAATATGGAACACCAGACAATCAATATCGAAATCTTTACAGGTGGAGAACAGACCATTGATATATATATATATATATGCAATTCCTTAATATAAGTAGTGGTTAAAAGCCATCAAACCCCATTAATCTGTAGTTCTGGTATTTATGAATGATCCGTACAGGTATTAGATGGTTGGAGGCAATCGGCAGGAAGCATTGGACCGTACTGGTATTACTTTCTTGACACATAATGGCTGATCTCTACCATGGTCAGTTGAATACTTTGCGGCAAAGGAGTTACATCTTATACTAATAATTTCTTAGTAGATAATTCGATGATTTCAGCAAGTAATTTAGGAACTTCCGAGTAATCCACAACGGTGTGTGAAGCAGAGGCAGGAGTAAGACACAGCTGTCTACTATCACCATCGATATTCCTGATTGTGATGGACTGAATATGTGCAGCAAACGGTGAGTGAGGAATGAGAAGGCAGACATACACTGGGCATACAAAATAACCCTAGAAGATCTAGATTCCCCCAATGATTTTTGTCGCATCTCTTAGACAGGCGACTAGAAACTTTCATCAACAGAGCTGTCACGATAGTGAAGATCAGATGGACAGTAAAAATAAGATACAAGGACTTCTGGCGGTAAACTAACCAAGAAAATATTGCTCAACAAAAAAGTAGAAAAAAAGAAGAGAGGTTGGACATACGCTAGACAGACCTTCATGTGATGTCATACACCAAGTACTCTGGCAGCACGCTAATGCGAAGCACCGAAATGGACATAGGTTCAAGGGAGACATGGAAGAGATGAGGTGAAGAGTAGGCAAGAATTCGTGGGCAATCGTGAATCCGGTTGGAAGTAATGATATAGAACCGAGCGCAGTGGGAATGCGCCCCTGAAACCCTTATGTTCTATTCAAAACTTCAGGAATAAATAAGAATGTAATGATAGGTCAAGTGATTAAAGTACTAGGTTCCAACTCAACGAGTTACAAAGTAATATTACTGCTACGGGATCTGAGGATGCATTATAATACATAATCAATTTCTACCTTTATTTTAATTCAGTGATCCATTGAAACAATATCAGAACTGAATGATTTAAAGCATCTTTAATAAGCATAACTATCACTTAAAAATTTCACCTAAAATGAAGTTGCTTCATTTCAAATTAGAATCATCCTTTTGGAAATCTTAAACCTTCGTTGAATTACTAATCGGACAATTTCACAGAGTTTATCTACAGTAGGTTTATTGAAGAAGTTTGCTTTATTGACTGCGAAGAGGGACACATAGATAATGATGACAGCAAAGATAATGAAATGCTCGAGCTACAGATGAACAATGACTGTCGCTAGAGTGATGCTCATGAGGAAATATATATATATATATATGAGTGATGACATAAAGTTTATCTCTACTGGTGACTTGTTCAGGGTGTCAATGTATATCACTGATAGCTATTCACTTTTATACTACGACCCATTAATCATTTTATTCAAACACAATAAGTTAACCTGTTGTTTATCTACTTTTCAGATATAAAATATCTTAAGTGTTTACTATATTTTAAAAACAAACAAGTAAAATTATTTACTGATTTTATTTATTTATTTATTTCGATCACAGAATTCCCCATCTTTCTCAAAACCAAGTCCTTTAGTGTGTTTAGAGGAAGCATGTACACGTATACTACAGAATATACATCCATTACCTTATAATAGAATTCTTAGTGGAATCACTTACAAACAAGCGGAAAATAACATTCATAACAGAAGTAATAAAAGTAGACATGGTTTCGCTGCACGTTTATCAAATTGCAATTGGATTCAATGTAAGCGTAAAATACGCTCATCCTACAACAGAAGAAATGAATATCAGCTTGATTTAAAAAAATTATCCAGTGTACATGGTGCATTAACTACTTCACAAAAACGAAAAATAATCCCATCAAAAAACATTCGTAAAAAATTATATTACAGGAGGAAAAAAGTTTCATCAAATAAAACTTTAAATACACAGAATTCTAGATCCAAGTCTCAGTCAAGAAAAATGCCCAAATCTTTAAAAATATATCACAATAAAGTCAATAAAGGTAATTCAGATTATAGTGAAACATTGTCAACATTTGTTTCCAATCAAACTCAAACTATTCAACGATCAGTGGTAGGTGAAAATTCAACATTGAAAAATGAACAAACAAATAAGTTAAGTAACAGACATCAAAACTGTACATGTAATTTTTGTTATGAAATGCAAATGTTGAATATTCTTTTAACTTCTTGGAGTACAGTTATTAATTTTATACATAATTTACAAATAAATACAATTGCTAATTCGAATGAACCTCATAACCCAGAAAATTCTAACGATATACCAAAATGCAATAATTCAAATATCTCTAAAATGAAGGATAACAACTCTGATCAAGATGATTGATTAATAACATTTAAATAAATACCTTTTTTTCACAAAATTTCTGCTCTAAAATTATTTATTACTTGTAAATTTGAGAAAAAGTAATGCAAAATAAAATTAAGCAGTAAACAAATAAAAAGTTGATAGCTCCATTGATCAGTGAATTGAATTAAACAATACGCCCTTTTAGAAATAGTATTTAAAACAAATAAATTTATCATGGTTACAGTTGAACTGTGACGTTCACTTGACAGGGGAATTCAAACAGAGGATAGATTATTTTATATCACATAGACCGAATAACAATTTTCTCCTATGTAATGCTTTTTGTTCATTTAAACATTTTCAGCTGAATGTTTCTTCATTGACAAGTGAATGATTGTTTAAATAATGAAGTTTTTGGTGCTTGTAAAATAGATGGAATATAAATAAAGCTAAAATACTTATACTACATTGTGCTACGACATTTGTTGTTACATAACTGCAACAGTAATCCACTGGCTTTATGAAATACCTTCCATTGACCAATATAAACCGACATATATATATATGTATATATATATATATGTATACATATATATATATATGTATATATATATACATATAGTAGTTGAAGCAGTAAATGGTCGACTAGCTCACTAAGGTAATTGCTTCGAGATCAGATAACCTCATAATAGATTTCGATATTGAGTTTATCTTGTATTGGTGTCGCCTTCGGAACCAAGAAAAAAAGAGTCCTTAGTGAAATTTTGTGAGGTATTTTAATAATGTACTATTATTGGTGTGAAATTTCTAGTGCGTTTTAACATGTACCCATATTTTCCATTCTGGGTTGCATGGAACTGCAATATAATTATTAATCTACCAATGTCGTAGTTTCCCACTGAAGGCAACCCGCAACAACATATGTGGCTCAGTCCAAGAATCAGTGACTTCATGGATCTGTTCTAACTACTACTACTACTTCTCTCGTACAAAATTCTACTTCAGTTAACACTGCTTTTCGTAGAAACAGGTAGTTTAGCATCAACAACAAACGGCCTAGACATCTCAATCTGTGAAGACTCACATCACAGACTAACTTGCATTTTTTAATGTAACACTCTACGCCGTGGGCCAACATTGTTAACCTCGTTTCTGCACTTTTATAAACAGTGAAACAGGACAAAAAACTACCGTGCTGTTGATATGAACGATAAGGTTCGATAATGTGATCGAAATTTGATATGGATTCATATGACCAGCACTAACAATAATGTTACGACTGGGGTTCAATTCAGCGAGACCGAATACCAAATGACATTTCCAATCTTTCCTGATGGCCACGTAAATTGGAAACAAACATTATACACAAATATAACCCACTTTAGAAAGTTAAAACAAAAAATTAATTAATTAATTAAATTGACTGCGGAAGTCCAGATTTCCAGGCTGTCCAATCACACCATAATAAATGTTCCGTCGCGACCCTTTGGTTTAAATTTGACCAGACTGCTTTCAGTTGATTTTGGCCGGTTTAAGCTAGTTTTAAGATTATGCAACATCAGGGGTGTACTACAGTTCCATACACACCATTTGACGGGTAAATGGATATGGTATTAGCACAGAAAAAATGGCACAAGTTCACAAATTTCGAAAGAACCTTCTTTGTTAGTGTTGAGATTAAGTCAGCGACCAGTGCATAAGAGTTGAAACAACTTCTAAAATAAGTAAGGTAATCAATACATTCAAGCAGTTTACGCTCTAACCCCAGACTTGAAATCCATGAAGACCGGGCCTTTATAGTATAACTTTACATTTAACACGTATGAACCTTATACCAGTCATACCCATATTCCCATCTATGATGTTTACAGAACTCGTTTGAAAACATTTCCACCTAAAATGACTGTATTATCTTCTTTTCGTAGTACGATTTCATTCTATAAAGGTAAAAACCAAACAAAATCAAGTTCATCGACATATCTATAATAAAATTAAATAAGAACGGTAACATTCAAAAAGACACCAATGGCTTTCATCAGTTTAAATGATAACCTGCCATAAGCTCTTTTATGCTTACCCAAGTTGAAATCATATCTTGGCTGGCGCACAACACTTGGAACAAATCATATGACTATAAATGCAGATGGCGAATTGGTGATCATCAAGTCAATGAAATAATGTCCTTCTACGGATAGAACTAGAAATGTCCAAAGTTATTAGGATAAGACCCGAAAGTTTGGATTCAGATTTCTTAAAAACCTATGCAAGGGTCAAATTATCTATTTAAATTTCATCTTAAAGAAATAAGGAAGTTGTTATTAGCTACTAAGTGCCATAAGCAGTTGCAGCCACTCACGTAAACCACAGGAACTGGTTAGTCAGTCATATCGAAGTGACTTAAACACAAGACGGTCACTTATGCTTGAAGTTGAGTTCGTTAGTGGTGCTTGATTAATATTTATGTTTTCAAAACGAACTGGTGAATTCCCACCTCAAAATGTATAATTTACAATTGTCAGAATTTCGAATAATGCAGTGTTATGAATGAAATTCTGTTAAATTGATCTTCAATGCAAATGAGTATAGCCCAGATAAGTGCAAAAATTAGGCATTTCATCTATTTCTTTACCTTGTTATACAACTAATTTGTGTACATTTTAACTAATGCAACAAAGTTAATATTTGTATACTGCGTCAATAATTTAATGGTTAGTGTACTTCAGCTCAAAGAGGAAGTCATATCAATAGCCAGACAACTATACAAACAATCCAAGATGCTAAAAAGCGGGTACAGAGTCACCTGCAGCCAATGTCATCGGTGAGCATTCCTATTCACAACCGACCTGGTGGGACGCACAGGACTTCTCATTAGAACTTAAACATTATGGATAAGATTTTATTTTGATAAATTACACAGTGGTGTTATACAGTAATATTAACTGATGACCACGTTTCGAGCACAAACTATTTCTCATAATCATATCAAGGCATTACTCACACAACTTTTTTCCTTCATTTATATACATGTTTGGAATCGATTAGGTATTTGAATAGAAATCAATATGAGATAATATACATTCAGGAATAATAGTACGAGTGTTACTGATCAAATACAATTAGATGGGAAATAAAACGAGTGTTTTTTAGTCATAATAAGTAACTTGTTAGAATGTTGTGATGTGCTTGAATTGAAAATATAAAAAACACTCGTTTTATTTCCCATCTAATTGTATTTGATCAGTAACACTCGTACTATTATTCCTGAATGTATATTATCTCATATTGATTTCTATTCAAATACCTAATCGATTCCAAACATGTATATAAATGAAGGAAAAAAGTTGTGTGAGTAATGCCTTGATATGATTATGAGAAATAGTTTGTGCTCGAAACGTGGTCATCAGTTAATATTACTGTATAACACCACTGTGTAATTTATCAAAATAAAATCTTATCCATAATGTTTAAGTTCTAATGAGAAGTCCTGTGCGTCCCACCAGGTCGGTTGTGAATAGGAATGCTCACCGATGACATTAGCTGCAGGTGACTCTGTATCGAGAATTGGCAGAAGCTAGCATTCGTGGGTTATTAGACTCCAACTCATTGACTGCATAGTAGACGTGTTCAACTTGTATCTTGAATGTCCTTGGTACAATAACTGGTATGGTAATGGATGTGCACTGCTAAGAAGAAGAAGAACCAGTTATTCGGTACTCCAGTGGTTCTTTCAATGGTTCTCTTTTTTGGTGTTGTTATCTTCGCTAGCTGGTATAATCGCATCTAAACGACACCTTCAAAACGACGAAGCTGTGACATAAAAAATTATGAATCCACAAATATGAAGGTAAAACTTAGAATAACAGTTCTAAATCATGGTTTCGGAATCGAAATTCCACAAGATGAATCGATTTTATTACGAATATCTCCAGTAAATATAAACTTTCGATGCCATAAACGTGAAGATATTATCCTACGCACATCATATGACAAATATTAATCAGAAAGAGGTTCATTTATTTAAACGCTGACAACGCATATAGTTTCAAAGTGAATGAAGAGAAGAATCCTGACATCGTTAAATTTGTTTGAAGCATAGAAGTGGGAACAAAAATGAATTATGTACTTCCACAGTTACTCAGAGAAATACAGAGATTCTTTGACTGCACACTAGTCAGTGACTAGTATAATGTGTCCAGTCCTGTGTTTGGTACATACTGAATTCTTCAATGAACGAAATATTCCTGTATTGAGTCATAAGAAAAAGACGTAAACAGTTATGAAAGATTTCTTTTCAACGATTCATTTTCATAAGCTGTACAGTCATATTTATATTTAACAAAGAAATCATAAGACCAATCAGATACTGACAAAATCTGTCCTCGAGAAACGTATTACATAATGTAAGGTGTAACCCTGATATGGATAAGATACCGCTTTTGGCCACCTCAATGTGTATTTATCAATTTACTTGCTCGTGTGGAGCAAAGTATATCGGCCATACGAAACCTCAAGGCCACAAATGTATTCTAGGACATTGTCCAGCTTGAGAAAAGAAGAATAGTAACAGCTCCATCCTCGAACACCTAGTCATCTCCGGACATCGAGCACCCCCGCACGCATGCTTCACAGTGTTTCGTTTGCTCCACCTCTTTGGTGATTGACTTTCCATTGTCATCCTTCACTGGATTCGAGGAGATCAATTGCGAGTTCAAACAGCTCAGTGGTAACGTCTTCGACTGCAGCTCTGGGTGATGCGGGTTCGAATATCAGAAAAGACATGAGTTATTTCAAGGTGATATAAGGTATGCCTTGCTGACAAGAGTCAACTAGCATGAAACCTAGGTCTATGGCTTCCCGCCGATTGCCTTCAACCATCTAAAATACAGAGATTACTGATGGAACAGTTGTGAAATTGTGATCGGTATGGCGGGACTATATGAAGCGTGAACTGTCACAACAATTGGTTTGGAGAATAATAGTTCACCAGCTTACTTCAGTTCTTGCATAAAATGTACTTTGAAAGTAATTAAGTTCCTATTATCTTCAAAACAGAAAGAAAGATAGAGAGATAAAGATGTGACCCAGACAAATTACCATTTCTTATTGTTCAGGTAACAACAAGTTGGCAGAACAGGTAACACGGAGAGAACTCCAGGTGAACATAGAAAAAGCACTGGGCCATAAAGACACCCGACCGAACAACAAAAAACACTAGTCCCTGTCATTGGAAGAAATTTAAGTGAAATTGTCCCTTTCACTTACCCTGGCCTTATCATCTTAATCGCAGGTAGCATAGATAATGATACCAAAGGTAGCCTTGGTCGCGATATCAAGATAGGCGTTCATTTCCTTAAAATCAGAGTAGAGGTGTCAACACTACTCAACACCAGAAAAACGTTGGAATATTTAATACTAATGTTGCTATATGGTTCAAACAGTTGGTGTGCATGTCACCAAAAGCATTTCCAACTTGCTAGTGAAGAGTTTCATCAACACAACTGACTCCTCTGGTTCAATACTGAAGATCAGATGACTAGCCAGAATAAGCAACAAGGGACCAGACAATAATCTATTGCCCAAAAAATATGCAGAGGGAAATGGGTCACACTCAAAGTGAAGAATCTCAAGTGACCAACCCTCCAGTGGAACCCGAATGGGAATCAACAAGTTGCGCGTCTGAGGATGACATAGAAACCATGTGAAGAGTAAGTGTAAGCTCGTCAGCAGTCGTGCAGCTGGTAGAAAGTGATGACTGCTTCAGTTTTATGTTCCAGTAGGAACGTAAGCAATGAATAATATAACAAAAAATATAATTTAAGTAAAATTCAGACAGATGCAAATATCACTATGCTGGACCATTCAGTCAGTCACTCAACATCATGATGTACGTTTTCGTAAGGGAAAATGATTTTCCAACACATATATATTGGCTAAGAAGTAGATTGAGAAAGTTTTGGAATAAACAAGTTCAAACAAACAAAGAAATTTCTGCTTTTCAAAATAAATGAGAGTATAGACTTATATACAAACTAATCAATAACAGCATAAAGAAATACCAACTACCATTGAACAGAATGCCTATGTTCCCTTCTTCGATTTCAGCTGAATTCAAAAGATTAAATGGGAGCACAGGATAACGGATTACCTCATTCCGACAAGTCATCTTGCTATAAAATATTGCGATTAACTTGTTTACAGAAGGAAGTCCAGAAACCATTAGCAACAAACTAACCTATAACCGATTGTTCAACAAGTATGCAGAAGGAAACAGATATGGATTGGGCATACGCTGAGGAGGCCGTCGAATGACATCGCGCGCAATGCAGGCTATTGCTCGAGTGTAATCTCAATAGCAAGCGACGAGTTGGTCGTCCGGCAGTGACATGGAGGAAATCATGCGAGGAGGGGATGAGAGATTATGAGTAGTCGTCGATCCAGCTGAAGAGGACTGCAGAAAATAGAACAAAGTGGAGATGTGTTGCTCAGAAGCTACGGGGATAATAACACAGAAGGAAGTCATTTGTATACAGTATTGTAGCATTCTTACAATTAACAGTTTCGCATTTTTGGATGTATCTCTATTGTAAGTCATTCAAATAACATCGTAGTTGGAATCAAAGATACTGCTAAGCTTCTATACGAGAAGTCAATATGCTAACAGGAATTGAGGAGTTCAGTCCGATGAGGATTTAAAAAATCAGGACAAACCCAGGATTAATTAAAAACAACTGATACTCACTGCGATAGAAGTGACTCTTGTAATTTAACAGACTTGTTTGAAGTGATGGTTGCTAGGTTTGAGTTTCAAGAGTGCAGGTGGATTCAGATGAAGAATCCCAAATAGGATGAAACACATGTCCTGAATTCCACTGGGGCCATTAACTATCAAATAATATTCGTCTACTTGTGCTGACTATATTTGCGCTGCATTTGAACACCTTGTTATGCAGCATAAACGCACTACATTTTATTCACATGTACATTGGTTGAACATTTACATGAATTGCTTCAAGATTGCAGATATGCCTTGCTGACGAGTGGAAACAAACGTGAAACCTACATATTTCGTCTAACTGTTTAATATCAAAAATTTAGAGCGCGCCATGATGTCGAACCACCTAGCATGGTATCCACATTGCAAACTTGACTGACAGAGTTTAGCCTACACTGAACAACGGACTATATGCATGTGACAGTAGTTACAAACTAGTGTCCAATCAAAGTACCTTTATGTGTATACTGGAATTTATTATATTTAAAATTACGTAATCCACCCTCATTTCTTTTTCTTTACAACAAATTACTTCGTACATATTGTAAACATCTTCCTCATATGAACAGTAGTCTTGCTTTCAAGTGTATGCGTATATTGATCGATTGATTTTTGTTTAAAATGAACTCTGTGCAAGTATGATAAATTGTTTTTGTAAATACATTTAATAATGTCTTTGGCCTGTAAGTAGCTGACGCGAAGGCAACGAAATAAATGATGGTACTATTTTATTCTGCTAAAACTGTAGTTCTTGCTTTGTTCAGATTGCATTTTTAGAAAACACTTATGAACGTTATTCAACACTCATTGTTTTAGATTATGTAAGAGCATTTAATCAGGGTCCAAATTTTATAAATTTCCTCCATGACATACAGTTCAATGTATTTCCTTATTTAATCCTTACTGGAATTTCCTATTATCTTTTATTAACACACTTTAACAGCTTCGATGACAAGAGCCCTTGTTTGTGAGTTAATTCTTCTTAATTCATATTTAAATTAGAAAGACAAGATGATCAGAGACTTGGACTTTGTGGAAAAAAACCCTCATGACTTTTAAATATATAATGAGTGCCACGGTCGTTGATGAGATCCTTGGATAACAACAACAACTGATCTATACAGCTAGCTTAGATATGTTTCAGTTGGTTAATTACAGAAGTATTCAGGTAGGTAGTTACCTGGGGTTCTAGTGAGAAGTCGTGACCAGTAGGGTGCAGCAGGTTGGGTGTGAGGACAAATACTCGCCGAAGACATTGGTTAGGGGTCGCGCTATGTCGTGAATTGGCAGAAGTTAGAATTCATGGACCATTGGATCGGGTCCCAGTGGCTTAATGGTATACGAGCTCGCCTTGTAACCAGAAGGTCCTGGGTTCGAATCCCGGTGGGTGCGTAGTGATGAAGAGTCCCAAACTAGGATGAAACAGATGTCCAGTACTCCCAGGTTTTCCAATGGTTCTCTAACTAATGTCAGCTCATGATGAAAATCCTGTAACCAATCAAATTCCTACAAACCAACACCAAGTATTTCACTTATCGCTCATACCGTTCATCAAAGATGGTCATTTTGTGGTATTTGAATAGAACTGCAAGTTAAATTCTGAGTTGAATACCTGAATACACTTCAATGATGAAATCACTTACATAAACAGAAACCGAACAGTATACGGTTTTTAAAACTTTACACCACGTCTACATGCTATACGGTTTAAAGAACGCATTGTGCGAGACGCACAGCAATCCCGATCGCAATACTTCACGTAGACGTAAGCTTTTTGGTACATGTTCAGAAAATCGTAGATATGCCCTTCTTTCTGTTCTTCTAATGTAACTGCTCCCGCAGATACATGTAAATTTGTATATATAGTCGGAGTTAACATGAGAAGGATATCTAATTAGCTTGAGAATCTAGCCGTTCATGATGACTCGGAATCTACAAGTTTTCCTTTAACTGTCCTCTCTTTTAGCGTACACTGGTATATTTGCTTTTTTCCATTTTCCTATTTCAGTTGCTTTCTGCAAGACTGACAACTAGAACTTATACAGTTCCGTGATAGGTTCATTCATTGTTACCGTTTAATTCACTATTGATGATAATAGTAGAAAAAAAATTCAAAGACGACATTCAAACCGGGTAAGTGTCTCTGAAGAATCACGGTTATAAACTGACACAATTAACAACCAGTTTTGTTCCACTGTGAATAAAACCAATGATATCAACTATCCCAAAGTAATCAGATCGCTGTGTAAAATGAAATTACTACTTAACTATTAGATTGGAAGGTAAAAGCATACGATTATTACGGCTTTTATTTTAATACAATTCTATACGAAAGTTACTGTCATCCATCCAAGGGTAACTGTTGATTAAATAGATCAATGTTTCTACAGTCAGAGTTTTGACAGCTAATCAAAAAACTAAGCATACATTCACAGGGAATATTGATTATATATTTTTGAACAACATTGGTGATAACAAGGGTAATTTACAGTGAATTATTACTGATTATTTAGTTTTTTCTGAAAAATCTGTCCATATCAAATAAGAGTTATCATAATGGATGACGTGAGTACAAATACGAACTTCTAAAAATATGCACCAACATCATATACATGCATATATATATAGTGGCGTAGATTACACAATTCTGATGAAGTTTAATGCCAAGCACCGGGTTGATTAGCGTTTGAAACTGGTGCTAACTTCTGAAATGGGATGGGACATCCATGAATTGATGGTTTACCTGTGAAATGAACATAACAATATATGCCATAAACACATAAGCGTGAAATTTCACATAGGAATTAGAAATAGTTGAGAGATTTGTAAATGAAAGAAAACTATCTTGTCGGCAAGGAAAGGAATGCATATGCATATATATTACTTCAAACAAGTTATAATTCAAACGTTTAGTGTTGTTCATCGTAAGTTGTAAGTGAGAACAATAGCTAATCAATATAAATAGCGACATTTCGTCTGCTTCTTTATCTTCGATTTTCATTGGCTGACTCCAAACCGTCTAGAGCTTTTGTATACTTTCCATTACTGTTTGAATAATATACTTCAGTGACTTAGTGGTGAAATGCTTGTCAGCCACACACAAATGTTCCTGGTTCACTACCAAGTGAACACGACACTATTAAACTTTGCCTAGTTCACTAGCCCATAAGTAAGCCCAGGAAAGAGGGAAGGTTGTGTGAGACTAGCAATTCCATGCCGTAATAAGATCACCACCGCTAGTGACATGTTAATGATTGAGGAATGAAAAAAAACTTATTGGGACAGTTTTTTGATCAGTTTAGTCCTATCAAAAGGTAAATAGTAGTAATGGCCAACAACTACTCATTAAAATCAACAATAACTTCTCAATGGTTAATAAGTTACCAAAAGTCACTTTAAATTTCATTTTGATATAACTTGTACAGCTAATAAAGCTGTGTGGGGTAGTGAGTGATACCATCCATTTACCAATGCTGAAGTAAGTGGAAGTAGAGTCGAAACTTACTGAAAGTCAGTGAGCCAAAACATCCATAAAAAAGAACTAGTAGTTTTAAAATAGCATTTGTAAATATTTGACTCCAACGTAGATTTCATCACGAACCAACATCAACCATTGAAATGGTGAAGTCAGAACTCACGGGTAATTGCATTTCAACCCAGTTGTCTGAATCGGTCAATGAACTTGGTCTCATAACCTGGAGATCTCAGTTACGATCCCTGGTGGGGTTGTCGGCGCACGTTCTACTACTGAAGAGGCCCCCAAACTACAACGAAACGACTGCCTAGTGCTCATTGATTTTCAATGATTCCCCTCTATCTGATGTTGTTCTGTTACGAGATCTAATTTATTATTATTATTGTTTCCTTTAATTCCTAGAGAAACATAGGGCTTCAACAGTGCGTCTCCATTGCGTTCGGTTCTCTGCTAGAGTCTTCAACTGGCTCCATGTCTGCCCACACGTTTTCATCTCCTCTTCACATGACCTCCTCCAAGTCACCCTTGGACGACCAACTCGCCGCTTCCCTTTCGGGTTCCACTTGAGCGATGGCTTGTCTAGTGATGTCACTTGATGGTTTCTTCAGAGTATGGCCAATCCATCTCCATATCTTCCTGCATATTTGTTTCACAATCGGTTCCTGGTTGGTTCGCTCATTGCCAGAGATCCCTGTTGCTGATCTTTTCTGACCGGCCATCTGATATTGAGTGAAGACAACTGTTAATGAAGGTCTTTAGTTTGTTTGAGATGCTCTTTATGACGCGCCAAGTCTCTGATCCGTATAGTAGCACTGACTTCACATTGGAGTTGAAAATCCGGATCTTATTTTTCATGCTGACGAGATCTAATACACTAAAATTATTCCACAATCTCTACAAAAACCCATAATCACTAGTTATTTTTGAGTGAATATCTAATGTAAAAATTAACATTTAATAATCAAGAATGTAATTTTATCTTACCTAAATATGTGTTGGCTGTTTGTTCAACACCATTATCCACAACATGTTCATTATGTCTTAATGCAGTATTTGAATTCGATATAAGGCGTAGATTTGAAGAAGTTGATGATGATGAAATCGATTGTGGTAGAATTGAACCTAAGCATGCTTTAAGCAAACAATTATCTCGGTCATCAGTTAGTGCAGTATCACAGAGATTACCACCATCTGGACTTATTACAGAGACTGGTACCCAAAAACCAGAGAAATGAGCCTGCCAAATACGTACACAACCATCATCTCCAGATGATGCCAATAGTGAACCTATATATTAGGAAGATAATTTTTTCTTTAGATTAGATAAGAATTAAATTGTATGCTGTAATCAAGTATAACATAAACACTGAAATCTGAATTAAAAATCACTTCACAGTAAGGAGTCCCCTGGATTGCAGGGGGAAATCATTGCTGACGGAAAATACAGAAAAGACTACGAAGGCGTTATTCCAACGCATGATGATTGAGTAGTAATAGAACTCTGCATGGGGAATTGTGGATAAGTGGAATTTAACTAAGTGAATAAAAAATTGATGATACACCAACAAATCCAATAACTTTCCCTACCTCAATATATTATTATTACTATTGTTTTATTTTTGGTAATAACTGCAATTTTTTCATCCTCTAATAAAACAAGTTAATTCTAAAGTGTATTCACCACTACTCCACAATAAGAACAGCGGAATTAGGAAGAATTATGATAAGGCGTAAAATGCATCATTTGATAATTGCTCCACCCAACGTGAATAGCATAAATTCTGTTTCATCTAGCACCTCTAACCACCATCAGCGTGCAACTACCACTGTAACAACGGAAGGTAAGACACGGAAGCCAAGGTATATATATTTTCAAGTGATCAAACCACTATTTTTATATTCCCTAACCAATTCATTCATTAAGTGTGTGATTTTGGTTTACATTAAACGACATGAAATGGAATGTCCAAATATATATGTGTAGTATTCTGTTGGTAATGCCGCACTGAATTGTGGGAATATGTGAGAGTTCTATTCAGTTGAAACACTTTGTCTCTATCATACCATCACACTACTATTACTACTGTGGTGAGAGTCGTCTACTAGCCAAATTGGTAGACAGTAATTTACGTCAATGTTTACGTTCTCAAGATTGGTCGTGAGAAAATATGAACAAAGATTGATTCAGAAACCGACCACAGCAGACTTTGCGTAGGCGGATACAGTTAACATATAGATGATCTGACATTCAAGAAACAGTCACAGAGAGATGAAAGATTAACTTTAAGTGAGAAACAACCAATCAGAAGACTGTGTTTGTTTGCTTAACTAATCTATAATAATGTACATGAAAATATATAAATATGCTTTGATTTCCTTAATAAACGATCTGTTGCCTGGCCCTTGTCTTCTGTTGTTGCACTACTACTATGTGTGTTAAGACCAGCTTGTTACTTAAAAACCTTACTCCTTTTAATGTGGTTGCATTGGCTGCGCTGGGTGCTTTAATTGCCAAGCCTTTATTGTCTTCAGAGCAGACTTCGATATGAAGTGAACTTATTTGAATTCTCTGTGAATGATATAACTGCATCTCCTCCTGACAAGCTACCTTTGCCGTGATTGGTTATTGATTTGTATTGATGATGAACACTGTTTTTAATTGACTTAGAATTTTACATTTTTGCTACTAGGTATGTGGCTTATTCTTTATTGGCTGATAGATTTGGTGTATAATATTACTGTGTATGTTGGTCACTAATTTGTTTAAGTATTAGGCTTCTACGAACTCCCTGGCATATATTTGTCATTTCCACTAGTTACAAAAATTCTATATAATATTCCCGGTCGATATGAAAGAATGCTCTTTCTGATATGGATCTATCACAGCGTAAAATTAAACACAGAATAATACTACAGATGTATTCAGTAAAGATATTACTGAAATAAAAACTAGACATTCCATCAAGGTGAAAATAGTCCTGTATAACCAGAATGCTCACACAACATGAAATATATTTGCTTGTTGAAAGTGATGAATAAAGCTGAATAATAACTTCTGTCTACTTTTGACATTCTGAAATAAATACGTGTGAAACAGTGAACTGAATGAACGTCATTTGTTCCTGTTGATGATATCTAGGCACTAATGCATAGATAAACAAGCACATAGATTGTGTATGGAAAGATTTCCGAACGAAAACGACTATATACGAACACCGCTATTAAACATTTAAAAACAGTCGCCTGTAATTGTCCATATAGCTCTACCTAGAATTCGTGTGATGTGAACTGATTTGGTTCTCTGAAAACTAAGTCACACCGAGTACACCTCCGTCCGGGGTTGAGACACCACTTTGATGTGGTTGGCTAGCAAGCATTACTGGTTGACTTGAGTGGTATCCAACTAACTCATATCAAATCATCCATTATGCGACTATGCTTGCGAACTCATGGTATCGGTCAGATCGCATTGGAAACTCAGGATCTCATTCAAAACGCCTATAGAAGGTGAATGTAACAAGCAAGATATTCAGCTTTTAACTATCTAGCTAGAATACATACAAAATTATAACTTCTACAAAATAATCTTCACGGAGAGATTATAGACTTGAAAAGAGAACCTCAAATAACACAACACGAGTAGATGTTATCAGCAGCATGCAGCTTTGTGAGAGACAAACTGATAAAAAAGACATTCTGGCAAGTAGAATCAAAACATCAAGGTATCCATTTAAAAGGTTTGCATACACCAACAACAAACTGACCAGAAAAATTAAAAGAGCAAGTGAATAGCATAACAAGAAAGTCGGAAGAAGGAAACGGACGAAACAACTGATAATGATTTACCCGTTACATTCCATGAAACACGCCAAACACGTCCTTTATGATGATCAAAACGTGATGCCAGCCTAATTGAATATGGGGAATACGCAAACGAATTGGATTGCAGTTTTTGCCCTGTTTCTTCTTCTTCGAACCCTAATGGAAATATAAAAGGATTCAAAAAGTAGTACATTTACTATGTATTTATGATAATGTAGAGTAGTGTTCACAGATCTGAATTCTTTACCAACTGACAGTGATTCAATAAAGTTAACAATGTATGCGGTAATTACCGTGTTACCCAATTATGTGCTAAACAACACACAAAGACCAAAATATATAAGAATGAGTTTCAATCTATGCAGGGTCAGTGAATTACGAGAAATGCCGCTTTCATCAACAAGCTGGCTGCCTTAGCTTCATACAGAAGACCAGATGGCCAACCGGAAACTACAGACAACAAGGGACTCTGTGCGTCGGTGGCACAGTGGTTAGGACTCTCGCCGGCCATGCACATAGTCCGGGGTTCAACCCTCTGCCGATGCATACCCGATATCTATGATCGGCCTGCAAAATTTGGGCTAGCGATATCGCATGCTGAAAATTCCATACTTGTACTGAAAATACGGTGTGGCATCAAGCTGTAATCAAAAATAAAAATAAAAAACATACTGCCCAAAAAATTTACAGAAAGTATTTAGAAGTGGATTAGACATACACCGAGTGCTGTAACACACCCTGCAGATCACCGAGTGGAGCCCGAATGGGAGAAGACGAGGGTGACATGAACGAGATTGTGTGGTGGAGGAGATGAAAGCTTACAAACAATCGTGAAACCAGCTAAAAAAATATACTGTGAAGAAGGGAGTGAGATGGAGATTTACATACTGAAGCCCTATGTTACATACACTAAGAACCAAAAAGAAGTAATAATAGCGTTTATTGAGAGGTATATTCACAATCTTTTCTTGGTTTTTTGAATCAACTGATACCAAAAAATTATGTATATTATAAGAAATTTTGAAGAAGAAAAGCATACTTATCTGTCTGAATGAGTCCTATCACACTGAATAGGCAACAAGGAAAAGAAGAAAAGAAAGACAAAGAGAACATCTGTAGGCAAAAAAAACCAGGAGGCTGCCTCAAAACCTTTCACGTTACCGTGTGTTGCTGACTTATTTGTTAAATATTTAATACAGAACAAAATATTTAGAGCGAACAATTGTTTTCAATAAATTCTTCTTCAGGCTCTACATTTATAAATCCATTAATTTAAGCATACAATAGCCATAAAGGCAGATTAGAATCATATCAGAAGGTGTATTGTGGAACAAATATAAGATGGGATGGAACAATAGTCATACAGTTTTTTAATATGCATGGTCAATGAGAACATGGGACAAAATCAGATGAAGTAATTTAATTTAATGATGTGTGTATATATATAGATATAGTCAACAGAAATACAGGTTTCGAGAGCGGTGGCAATTAATACCAGAAGACCATCTCTTTGCATACAGAAGAAGTATGTTCAACCATTACGTTTACCTTGGCCTACGATAAAGCCAACAAATCCTCCACTATAAATTCCTTTCACAATTTTCTTTTCTTTTCTTCTTCTTCTTCTATTCCTCTGTTTCATTGACAATCGTTCATTTTCGACTTTTATGATTTCATGACCTTTCTTATGATTTTATTACCTTGCTATCGTATTTACAAAAAGAATCCTATTCATTCCACTTCATTATATTCATTATTATTATTTGACAATCATTCACCAATAGTGCATGTAATTTTACACCATATCATCGTTATTATTTTACAATCATTCTTATTGTCGTTATTTTCAACCTCGAACTTATGTCTAGTCCGCCCCATTCGTTGGTCTATTTTCATATTGTCTCACACACCCTGATTACACACACTCTCGAAACCTGTATTTCTGTTGACTATATCTATATATATACACACATCATTAAATTAAATTGCTTCATCTGATTTTGTCCCATGTTCTCATTGACCATGCATATTAAAAAACTGTATGACTATTGTTCCATCCCATCTTATATTTGTTCCACAATACACCTTCTGATATGATTCTAATCTGCCTTTATGGCTATTGTATGCTTAAATTAATGGATTTATAAATGTAGAGCCTGAAGAAGAATTTATTGAAAACAATTGTTCGCTCTAAATATTTTGTTCTGAATTAATTATGGGAATATTCGATTTACTGAAATATTTAATATTTAAATTATCCCTTTGACTCAACTAACCGACACTGTTGTCAATAGGCATTTGAATTCTTGTAAACACTTAGCTAAAGTTATTTTGTCTGATAGTGAACATCCTCTTTATTCACATTTGTTTCCTTGTATCTCTTCGGGTAAGACCAGAAGAAATTTCATAAACATTTATGCTCGTACTACAAAATATAAAAATTCGACCGTACCATATTTGGCACGAGTATTGTGTGAAGAGACGAATATCAGAAAAGAACTTTTACAACTTCTAAATCATTAACGAAACTAAAAAATGTAATGATGCATATTATTGCATGTGTGATTTGTTATATTATTTATTTATTATTCACTATGACCTAGAAATGGTGTATTTTGTTGGGGTTTCTATTTTTCCTATTAACTATTAATATTTTTAAAATTTTATACATTTATATAATTATAAAAAGAGCTAAACCAATGCAATATGTAAAATGAAACGCTGAGAATTCCATGCTGTAAATTGTTACTGTTGTGGAATAAAGTGATTATTATTATTATTATTCATATTTTTATATATCAATGACGGCTTATTAAGTATCAAAGAGGTTTTTAATGCTATATGCATTCTGACACCAGTGCAAAGAGCAATGATCACCCACCGACTGAAATATCAATTAGTGCCAGAGACAGCTCATATAGTGCTACTAATCCAGTCTTATTGATCACATAATCAGTCATCTGCATCACAGCAATAAAATCAATTCAGCAGTTAGGAGGCATGTTTATCGTCCGATTTTCGAAAATCATCCTAAGTGGATAATCAAAAGGCAAACAAGGTGTGTATGCATTGCTTTGTTTCAGCTCACCTCGTACACTACTGGACAAAAAAGTCGATGTAAACAAAGTATCTAAAATTAACTGCCGCATTTTTACTATTCTTTATTTCGCTTTACCAGTTCGTTTTTACATATAGCTGAAGCTGAAGAAGATTAACTTGCATATTGTAAAATTCTGAAAATTCCTCCCCTTCTCCCCATATAAGCCTTTTGCAGACTAGCATTGTTTCAACTACCGTTAATTGTTATATAAATTTTCTTCTTAATTTTATCTGATATTCAACTTGGCATTCCATTTTTATGTATATTAACACTTAAACTTATTCATATGTACTATTATTATTATTTTTGTTCCCTTAGGTTCCAAGTGGAACATAGGGCTTCAAAAATACATCTCCATTTTCTTCAGCTAGGTCCACGATTGCCCATAATCTCTCATCCCCTCGTTGCTTTCCGTTGGGATTCCACTCAAGCAATGGCCTGAATTGAGCACGATGTCATTCGACGACCTCCTCAACGTATGGTCGATCCATTTCCGTCTGCATATTTGTTGAGCGATCGGCTCTTCCTTGTTGGTTTGTTCTCGCAGTTTTTTGTTACTAATTCTTTCTGCCCATTTGATCTTCAGTATGGAGCCGGCGAAGGTGGTAGCTGTTGATGAAAGTCTGCAACCTGCTGAAAATCCTTTTCGTCACACGCCACGTTTCTGACCCGTATAGAAGGACCGACTTGACATTGCTATTGAAAATCTGAATCTTGTTCTTTATACTGTGGAGATTTCCATACTGGTTTCAGGTTGATCAAGGCGTATCTTGCCTTTCCGATTCTGGCTAGCCATAACATTTTCATCCGTCCCGTCTGTAGTTGAAACAATGCTTCCTAGATAAGTGAAGGAGCTAACCTCTGTTAAATCTCTCCCGTTGATAGTGATTGGTGCTGGTTGTTTTTGTTCTTGCGGTTCGTTGGTTATCTTCATCATCAACCCCGTCTTCTCTGTGTTCAGTTGGAGTCCTGTCTTCGCTGCTTCTTCAGCCAGTTTGTTGGTTTTCGCCTGTAAGTCTTCGAATTTGTGCGACACCAGACATATATCATCTGCGAAATCCAGATCATATGGAACAACTCGATGTTATTCAAAAAAAGAAAACATCAATCTTGTTAGCAACGTATCTTTAAATATTACATGTATGCCAGATGAGGAAGGTATCAATAAGAATATTCTTTCTTCAACATTTCTTTTTTGTCTTCTATGTGTCTAAATAGAAATCTTCGGTATACAGAAGTAGTTTAATCCACAAATTAATAATTAATTCCAGTTATTATTATTATTCAATAATCCGCATACGACGGCCCTTATCTCAGCTAACAAAACCATGCCAAGCACAAAAGTGTTTTGGCCATTGTAGAAAAATTCAGCGAAAGACTAATTAGTGGGAAGTGATCAACAAGAAACACTTACATGATATCTCTGATTTTGGAGATGATGAAATAATACGTATTATGTAGAGGTCTTTTGAACCAACAGCCAATGTTTGATATGATTGACCTATGTGTGGAGCAAATGATAGATCGTAAATAGGATCAGTCAATCCAACAACATCTTCAGTTAGAAACCAGTGCCTTCTTGCCTCAACATATTCATACAGGACAAGTTTACCACGGACTGAAGAAGGGTTTGGATTTGTTGGATACGATACAGAATGTGATGTTTGTAGACAATCGGAACCATCATTTCCACCGGAATCATTAGGATTACCACTGCCAACAGCTATCAACGGAGGATCAATCCGAGACTATAAAAGTAAAATAATTTGACATACAAATAAATTAAATAATTTCGAGTCTTATTATTTTTCTTTTCTTAAGAAAAAAGAAAATAATCGGAACATATCAAGCTGGTCGGTAAAACACATGAACACACACACTGATTCAGAAATGTATATATGCATGATAAAAAAAGAGTAATAATACTAATTCAGCAAGCATTGAAGGTTTGGTTAAGTCACCGTGGTTTAATATCTACTTCCTTATTCGGTATAGTGCACCAAGATTCACTTCATTTCATATTGTTTTAATCATCCAACTGTTTGCTTGAATGATGAACTTTACTCACATGGATTTTTACATGGTACTCAGTATATGTGCATTTTTCACAAGTATTATTATTAGTAGTAGTAGTCAGAGTATCCAGCAACGATCAGTAGTTTCTTCATGCATTTACTCCCCTTGATGAATCTGAATAAAGCAAAAACAACAGTGGTTTTTGCAGAATAATAAGGCAACATCATTTATTTCGTTGGCTTCTTATCAGCTGCCTACTTACAGCCTAAATAAATTATGAGGTTTATGTACAGAAAAGTTTTAACATGCTTGCAAATTTTTGTCATGATGTCAGTTGACAGAAGGTTCCAGAATTAGTGAACAGTGCTCAGAAAATTACACACATATAACTTTTACACAGGCAGTTCAAGTTTAAGCAAAATAAATGTATGCATATAATGGTAAAGGAGTTACGTAATAAAGATTAGAGATGCGTAAGATGCTGAGTGACTAATAAATTTGGTAACAATGTACTGAGTTCAACTCAAATCATCGAAACAAGAGACAAGCAAAATTACACTATATCAAAGCGGGGGTGAGGTTAAAGCAAAAGATTATGTAATGAGATGAAAGAGAGAATAGAGGCATCCAGTTACCAGGGTAACGAAAGACTGATAACTAACTGCTTCTTTCTGAACACATAAATCTGGTTTTAAGCGAAGCAATTTCTATCACTAATTGCGGAACCTTCTATTAACTGACATCATGTGAAATTTGCAAGCATGTTAAAACTTTTCTGTATATAAACCTCATAATTTATTTTGGCTGTAAGCAGGCAGCTGATAAGAAGCCAACGAAATAAATGATGGAGCCATATTATTCTGCACAAACCACACTGTTGTTCTTGCTTTGTTAAAGATCAGTAGTTTTTGAACAAATAATATCATTACATAGAAAATGCCTTTAGCTTAAAGCTCTTTCACAAATGAGATCATTTAAAAAAGATACTGACCACAGTTCATAATACAGTTGACAAACTTCGATCTGAACAAACTACTCTTTTGCTAAGGGAAGAAAATTCAGAGTGATTTATACAGTTCAAACAGAAAACTTTTGTATACATACACCAAAGTTTACTAATTAGTAGTTCGTTTTTCAGATTATTTATGAAAAAGAAATTGGAGGCAACTAGAAAGAATGACGACCGAAAACTAACACCGTTGTAATAAATGGCCTTGCACAGTGCAGCACACTTTCTTTGACTTAACCAGTCGAATACTACTGTAGCCTGAAATAAGGCTTTTGTTCATAGGCTAGTATGCACACTCATTCAGTAGACAAGTTAGCAGTCTGGTGATAATCTATGACACAGACTTTTCTGTTTCCTCATCTCAACCGTTAACTTCATACGAGAATAATCACCAAAACAACTCCAAGTGGTATATATGTATAAAATAAAAGGAAGAAACAATTTAAAAATCTATATAATAGGTCCATTCCTTTGAATTTATATCTTTATTTCATTCACAAATTCACATACCTGAGACCAACTTAAACATGACGCAAACATTTTAGTGCCAAAATCAAACTGTAAACGCCACTGACTTAAATTCATAACATCCTTAACAGTAGAAAAAAAGCAAAGCAAATAACAAGTGTAATAAAATTAGGTCAAAATTCATGTGTAATACAAGTTGGAAAGGTAAAAAAAACAACTAACTAGGAAATAATACTATCAATGAATGAATTACAAAAAGCATACTGAGGGCACACAGGTTTATACTGTAAAAACTCTTGAATACATTACTACCTCTTCTTAGTTACTCATCCCTACTTGATCTGACTATCTCAGCATCCTTTACAACCTTTATGGACTTTTTAACTTACCATATAGCATTGACCATTTCACTTATTTGAGAAGTTTCATCAGACCCAACGGACTGACCGATGACGAAATTTCAGCATGGATACAAAAGTCTCGTGTGGCATATGCCAACTTACACCATCTCTGGCGTAGACGTGATATCCGACTGTCTACCAAAGGACGTGTGCGCTGCACAGCAGTAGCAGCAGTTGGCTCCGTCCTCCTTTACAGCTGTGAGGCATGGCTATTTATTAAAAGTGGGAGATATGAAAAAGCTAGCTATCTTTGATCATAGGTGTCTGAGATCTATCTCCCGTGTTAGGTGATATAGTAGGGTGAGTAATATTGAGGTCAGGCGTCGAGTGTTATCTGTGGAGAGTGAGTCAGTCGATAAGGTTGTGAAGCTACATTGATTGAGACGGTTAGGACACGTGTTATGTATGCCTAACCATTGTCTTTCTTGACAGGCAATGTCAGCTGACATACGATTAGGTGAGAAAAGAGTTAGTGGCGGTCAGCCGACAACTTGTAATCAGTCCATAAAATCTCCGACAGTTAGTTTGATCTAGCCATACAGGGAGGAGAGCAGGCTTCCTGGTTGTGATCCTCGCGATTCTAAGAACCAATGACTGGAGAAAATTAGTGATATGACTCGAAATCATCCTCGGTGGCGTAGATGCATTCATTCTCTGTGATGTGTCATATCCATTACACAACCTTACTCTTTCTCCCTTACATTTCTTGAATCTTTTTTTGCTAATTTGTCTTCTTTTGCATACTACATGGAGTACATGCACTTGAACTGCTGTACTTCTGTGCAAGGTTCTATGTTGAAACCAGTCAGTGCCCCATGTTCACTACAGAAAGTTGGATACAATGAGTATCTTAACTGATAACAAACAAAAACAAATTGAACCACAACACCAATAATAAACACAATTGACAGTGTGTTTTCCTCTAGTATGGTAAATACAAAGCTTTCATTTGTTTTACCAACTCTAATTGACATCTTCAGTGTTAGACAGGCAATGAAAGCTTTACAATTATAAACTAATCTAGATTAGAGAATAGAAAGTAACACCTAAAAAGAAACATCCATTTGAGAAATACAGTTTCTTCATTACTTCATAATGGAAATTTGTATTACTTGAATTCAGAAGGAATACAATGATAATGACAACTTCATTTTACTATTTTACTTTGCGTGCTGATGTCCGAGAAGTTGACAGTGTTAAGGTGGTCGTTAAGAGAACATAATTCATACTTTAAAAAGACAAGTGCATTTAGACAGAAGGAGGAAATGAAAACTATCAAAACTTTACATAATAGACTAGTTGAATTTGAAACTTTGGACTAAATCCTTGAAAACAGAGTAAATAAACAAAAAATTCACCAAGTGGATCATCAACAATTCGTTTACAGATAAGAAGACAATTACCTATTACCTATGAAATGACGTATATGGCAAATCTTTTAACAACTTAGAGTTAGTTGCAAGCTTGAATATTATTTTTCACAAAAACATTCTTACCAAAGCCTCGTAGATACGTAACATGCCATCGGTGGAGACTGCAGCCAACTGGAGACCTAAATGCCTTGGAGCGAATTGCAACCCAGTCACAGAAGTTCGTGGATCAACAAGATAAGCACGTCGAATCCAATGAGTACTTCCTGACTGACCCCCAAGCATTGTGTTTGTCAAAGACGGTGGAATTTGACTGGTGTAGCCGTCATTTTCCCCACCACTACCTATGGACTGTGCAAAAAAAGAGGAAAGATGAAGATATGTGTTGTGAGAACTGGGACTATCGCTTCTCATCATCATTACCTTGGTATTCAATGGAAAACTGTAACTATTTTCAATACACGTATATGAAACTTCGCATCTTATTAGAAAAAATACTTCAGTCAGGGGGGGCGCAACAGTCGTAGAAAACGTTGAAATAGATACTAAGATGATTATGCAATCTAGAGTTTATGCTGCCGGCAGATAACAACACAACGAAAATGTATTAGTCTTAGGGACTAAACACAACCTGCTGAGCAACTCAACCCTGACTGAATTCACTTCTGAGTTAAAAATGATGCAGTCGCGTAGACATAATTATATACATTTGGAGGACAATTATACAAAAAGTATGTTACTTACACAATCAGTTACATGATACCTTAGATGTTTGTTTTTTGCCAATGTACACATACCTGAGTACTTGTAATTTCCTCCCAGATAGCTATTGTACGATCGAATGAACAGGTAGCGATTACCTGACCAAATTCAGGATGTGCCCAACTGACACGCCAGGCTGATCCTAAATGACATCGCCAAGAAGCAGTGCACACCCATTCTCCATTGTCTTTTAGATCCCATACCTGTATGTACAAGGAGGGAGAAAGAAAGACGCCTATGAATTTTATCTAGTGAATTGAACTAAATTTTTAACATAAAATTTTGAATAAAAGTGAAGGGATTTAAGTTGCAACACAATTTAAAAAATCACACATAAACGTAGGAAAGAATTACGAAGAAAGTGTAATGAACTGGAATGTATGAGAAGAAGTAAAGAAACGCTAATTAGAACTAATTTAAAAGATAAGGCGAAACAAATGGAGGAAATGGGGTATTGAAATCAGTAAATGATTATGCAGTTAACTTGAGTTAATCACACTCTCCTTTTGTATATATATATAAGTTCGGTTGATAACGTCCGCGAAGTGCAGCAATCCGAATACGTTCCGAAAACCTTATATGTTGACGGACTTAGATACGTCAACAAGATTTCTTGTATCTACAAGATGTCTGATGATTATACTATTCGAATGTTTGTTTTCCTTTGAGCCTAGATTTGTTACTACAAGCTCTCAAAGGTGGATGACAGGCTTTCTATTAAATCACCTCCCACCTTAGTATTAATCACTATCTTTTATCTCTCCTTGCCTCCATTTCATTAACACTTTTTTCAATCATTTGTTTAATAACATACACAGAATAAGAATAATTTGAGCTGAAAAATATCCTGACTTCAACATACTCTAATGCATAGTACATATGCTCTACCATCATTTGAACATTTTTTTATTCCTTCACGGGATTCAAGCCTCTAGCTTGAAGTTGCTGTAGCAGTGGTGTTTATTTTTTACAGGATGGGGTTGCTAGCCTCATGGCCAACCTTATTACTGGTTTAGCAAGGTAAAGGAGTGCGTCGATCAAGGATCGAACCCCGGACCACCTGTGTGGTCGGCGAGCATTCTACCGCTGTGCCACCGACGCACTATTTGAACATTACAAGCGTGTTATTTTTCTATTACTGAATCTATAAAAATTCATTTTTACATTCCAGTTTTCATGTTTAGAGTATGAAGTTATATTAAATTGCGAGGTATTGATATGAACTGTTTTTTAAAGACCGAACCTGTACATATCTATAAGCATCAAATAAGAGGATTCATACCAAGAACAAATTATACAACTGTGTTTTGATAACGTGTGTAACCTGGATAATTATAATTTATAATAATCTAGCAGATATGTAGGGAAGCGAAGACAGAACTTCAAGCGAACATAAAGAAGACAAAGACGTCAACATAAATGGGAGAAATCGAAAGATCACATCTTTGCCTTATCTAGACGGTATTGCTTCAAATATAGGAGACACAGATGAGGATTTCAAAGCCAAGAGAGGGTAAAGAGAGGAAGACCGGCGTTCACTAATCTGAAAATATTGTGGAGATTGAAAGCAAAAATGTGCAACACAACGAACAACATTCGAATTTTAGACAGATTGATGTCATATCAGTGCTCTTATAGAGTTCAGAGACTTGCTAAGCGCGTCACGAATAGCATTCCTAACTGCATGTTGCAAACTTCCATCAACAGTCGTCTTCAATGGATATTGACTACCAGACAACAGGCCAGAAACTACAAGCAACAAGGATCTTTGGCAACGAACGAAGCAAAAACCTATTGCCCAACAAATAAGCCGGAAAAAATGTGTAAAGGACAAGATTCACGTTTTCAGCACCAATGTGAAAACAGTACTGCTATATGATTCAGAGACCTGTAGCGTTAGCAAAAGCACTTCCAACAGACTGCAAACTCTCACCAACAACTGTCGTTGCTCCATACTGAAGATCAGATGGTAGGCCAGAAAGTGATCAGCGACAAGGAACTCAGGGAACAAACGAATGAAGAACCTATTATTCAGCAAATACGCTAATGAAAATGGAGATGAATAGGATATACACAGAGGAGATAGTTGGGTGCCATCACACGCCAGGCCCTCCAGTGGAGCCAAAAAAGGGAAACAACGAGTTGGATGTGGGTAAGAGGATGACACGGAGGGGATCGTGTGATGAGGAAATGTACGGTTATGGGCGTTTGTGATGACAGCTCAAAAGAACTATGGAGAACAGTGAACTGGAGACTTACAGTGAAAGCAGTATGTTTCACTTGGAACCCAAGGGAATAGTAATAACAGGTATGTGAATAAATTACGAGATCTAAGTTAAGCCAGTATACCGATTAGAGGGGATGCTGATATTCAGTATCAGGGTGTGAAATATTATTCCCATTTTGTAAACAAAAAATATTCTTTTTAATAAACGGTTTTTTGATTATTACAGTTATAAAATACTTGTTATCATTGTAATAACAAAAATAATAGGCAGACATACGGTGCATGCATTCTTTTAACGTAAAATACATGACAACAGGCTTAAAATCAGATAAGTTTGTCATGTTACAAGGCAAAAAGATAAATAGTATTTGTATGCCAAAAGTGGTGACCTGAATACAATCACAAAATTGTGTAAAATAGATGATAATGACGGTATCTGTCCAAAGTATCTATTTTGAGAGGAAGCATGTGGCTTGTATTTACATGAGAAACCACAGAATGCAACTTTGAATCTAAGTTAGTACCAACTATTTTATTGCTTGAGAGATTAGAGAATCTGTGACTTACTCATTGGACCATATGATTTTTATCGTCTACACTCCAGTCATTTACTCGAACTCAATTACCCAGAATATACCTTTCAGGTACTAGGCCATGAGTTAGATAATTATTGTGAAAGCTGATGATACCACCCAGTTGCCAAAGTTTAAGTAGGTGGAGAGGGATTCAACCACAGGACTTACTGCCTAAAAGTAGAATGCTCAGGCCAATAAATCATGTTTTCAATCATCACTCGTTATGCCAATATACTAAACGAAAAGTCGTGTACTTAGACATTACAATGCATTGGAAAATACCACTGAGTTGTATAACAATTACACTGCAAAACTGTTTACACTATAGGACCATATTATTTTGTTTGTGTGCGTGTGAGTAATAGTTTACAATTATTTTTCTGTCACAGAGATAAGCCTGTTGTTTAAATAATCTATGTGAAGCCAGAAAATCAAAACCATATTATGGAAATTGTGCGTCGGTGGTGCAGCAACAGAATGCTCATCAATCACACAGGTGGTTCGAGGTTCGACTACCAGGCAACACAATCATAAAGCTCACCTAGCCGTTAAGGAGGAAAGGCTGGGGATGTGGGGCCATCAAGATTTGCTACTGACACTTCAAAGTTGTTCCACTGGGAATGCAAAGGAATAAAATAACATGGAAATTGGCATGTAATGCACCGAAATCTCTTCCAGATAGAATATGCGCATCAAGCAATTAAAGTGTTTGGGAAGTAAGACCGGAACATTCAGATAACTAAATCTCAGGTACAAATTAATTATATTACATTTAGCGGATGAATATCTACTACCTATTATTATTCCAAGCGTGAGGCTAACAACCCTGTAAACAAAGTTGCTGCAGAAACTGTAGCACGATGAGTCACCTCGCGACAAAAGAAAAAGTCTTTGTGGGGATATGGGAAGTCCGCACCATGTACGAGACTGGCAAAGCTGCCTAGATTGTAAATGAGATGAAAAGATATGGTATTCGATTACTGAGAATATGCGAAAGCAGATGGAATGGAAGTGGACTCACCAAATTGTCAACGCAAGAGTCAATGATCTAATTCGGTCACCAAGAAGACAACCATGAGCACACCGAGGGTGTGGCTATCATGAAGTCACCAACGGCAACGAAGGCCGTGACACAATGGGAGACGATCTCGCCCAGGATAATGATCGCCAGACTCAACTCAAGGGGAAGGAAAGTGAGTTATACAATGCTATGCACCCACAAACAGTGCAGACCTCGAAAAGAAAAAAGAGTTCTACAGGTAACAATGGACAATACTCCAGTCAGTGACATTAAAATTCTAGTGGGAGACATGAATGCCAAACTGGGACCAGACAACACAGAAAGAGAAGCACTTGGAGATATGAATGAAAACGGAGAACTCTTCAATGCCTTCTGTGCCTTCAATGAACTAGCGATTGGTGGTAGCGTATACAAGCACAAGGATATCCACAAGGCTACATGGGTGTCATCAGATGGGCGAACCAAAAACCAAATTGACTTCATCTCAATGCTGCTTGAGGAAGTGGAGGCACAGCTTACTGCACACAAAAGTGAGAAGAGGCTCGTACAAGGAACACCCCAAATCAAATCAAAAGCTTTCAAAGAAACAGGAGCGGCAGATAAACCACAAGCTAAGTTCAATACTAAAAAACTGAAGGATCAGGCCACAAAGGACATCTTCACTGCACACATAAGGAAAAAGGAGGGGACACAAATCAACACTAGCGAAGAGACCGGCGTTGAAAAGCACTGCAACAGCCTGAAAGCGGTGTAGAGTCAAACCTACATGGAAGTTCTAGACAGAAAGAAGAGATAGGACAAACAGTTGCCCACTACAGACACATAGAGACTAATAGAAGAGAGAAGGATGTTGAAATAAAAGATTATCCAGTGAATCGACGAGCAAAAAAACAGGAGTTGAATGCAAGCTACAATACACTGAACAAAAGAGTAAAAAAAGCCAGCGAAGACAAAAGAAAATATTATGAAGCTATGGCAAGCGAAGCAGAACAATCTGCAGGCAAAGTAGACCTCGCAACACTCTACCAAACAACTAGGTTCCTATCGGGGAAAGGTTCAACACAAATTAAGTCAGTGAAGGATGACAATGGAAAGCCAATCACCAAAAAGGTGGAGCAAAAGAAACACTGGGCTGAACACTTCAAAAGACTTCGAAATCGACCGCCACCTACAACGCAACCAATAATACCAACAGCGGAAGCAGATCTACCAGTGGACATCAACCCTCCAAGGAAAACAGAAATCCTGAAGGCAACAAAGATGCTGAAAACTGGAAAAGCAGCACGACCAGACGGAATACCAGCAGAGGCATTGAAAATGTACCCCGAGACATCAGTCGATTTGATGACACCTCTACTGGAGAAGGTGTGGAAAAAGGGT